AACAATGTGGGCTTTTCCTTCCTTGTCATATAAAATATTGTCTATTGGCTTTATCTAGTTTTGTTTCAAGTATAAAACCATTTTTGAAGCATCTTTTGGGGTGGGTTTCTTTTGAAGATGATAGCATATTTTTAAGCTTTTTGGATAGCATTTTTGAATTGGCGTTTGGGGTTGGAATTATTTAAATATTATAAAGATTTCACGCACAGCTCGGCAGCTCTTCCCAAATTAGCTATGTGTCTAACAAGTTGTATTTTATTTTAAATTTTACCACAGCACCAGCTAAAACTATCCCAGTACTAACTTTAATTATATTTTAAACCACAGTGGAGATCGTCGGCAGTTGAAAATCCTCGTGGTTTCGTGCACGCCCGTATAATCGAGAATGCATTCCGCTCCGTTGTTCTCAAAGGAAATTTCACCAAGCTTGTACTCAGGATTGAGGGCCACCCGCAGGATATACCTTCGATTGATGGGCACCCGAGTCACGTCCACCCATTGACAATCCAGAACATCTGTGTAGGTGTCTGAACAGCCAACAGAGATGCCTACAATAATGATAAAGCTAAGTTTATATCGATGTTCCACAACGACTAACGACTCGAACTTACCCTGAGTGGTGTTGCCGCAGGTGTACTTCCTGGTGTGGCCTGGCTTGCACTCCGTATCCATCAGGCAGAAGGAGGCCTTGTGCCCCTGGGCTACCTTCTTATAGTTCAAATCGTACACATCGAAGGTGGCAAAGACATTCATGCTGTGGTAGTGCCTGTGGCACTGATGCCACACCCAATCCTTGTAGTTGGCATACGGACTCACGTCCGCATTTCCCACATTGGTGGCCTTGACGGAGAAACGAAGCAGGATCCTCTCCGCATGCGGCTTCGTTTGCCGTATGACATAAGCATCAGCCGACAGGCAGTGCTCTTCCATGGCGCAGGTGAGTCGCGACATGGGCACCGATTCTAGGCGGGCGGTTCTTTCGATGTCGGCAAGACCAATTTCCAGATCAGCCGAGTGCTTTACACATGCCACAACGGTTATGTTCGTATTTCGAGCATCACAAATGTTCGGATATCGCGACTCCCGCGTGCAATCGGCCAGGCGACGCTCTGTGCCACGGCAGAGGGTGCCCACCATGCCCCACGGATACCTTTTGTTGTCCCCATGCTCCGTGCTCTGAGTGGCCTTTGAGGCAAAGCCCAGTCCCAGCTGGCGGCACACGACATTCGCCTCCCGCATGCTCCAACTGGTGCTGCAGATGGTGCCCCAAGTGGCGCCAAAGTCGAAGCTCACCTCGACACGTCCCTCCCTTAGAACTCTCACCTCGCCGCGAGATGACTGATTGGTGGCGAGACGCACCATCATGTTCCTGTAATTATTCTGGACGTTCAAACGAATGTTGGCTCGACAGCAGCTCAAGCCCAGCAGCAGCAGCAGCGGCAGTAATAGCATCAGTCGTTGCGAGTCCATGGCAGGTCCGGTGGGTTCTGGCACGGGGCGCTAGACACTCAGCTTTAAAGCTAACCGAAACAATGCCCTTTTTGGGCAACAACTGGGGAATGGGGCTACATATGTAGGAGGTATATTGTGCGTTGTATTGCCCCTGCGGCCGACCCACATCTGGTCGGCTAATTGCACGGGCTACGTTTTTCGGGAACACGTTTGTAAACAAAACTCAGCTGGCAAAATGCCTATTCTGAGCGCATGGGTGTGTGGTTTTTTCTGTTTTTTGTTAGGGTGTATGGAGTGCAATCGTTAACAACAAATTCTGTGCGCCTGTTATGTTTCAAGCAGCTTCGTAATCGCCTCTTTCAGTTGCGCCGGCTTGAAGACGCCACGCTCCGTGATGATGCCCGTGATCAGGGAAGCGGGCGTCACATCGAAGGCGGGATTCCAGCAGTTGATGCCCGGTGCAGCAATCCGATGCTCTCCCACGTGGGTCATCTCACGATCTGGTCGCTCCTCGATGATGATGTGGTCGCCGCTGGGTATGTGCAGATCGATGGAGGTCAGTGGGGCGGCCACATAGAAGGGCACATCGTGATGCCTGGCCACCACCGCAATCTGGTAGGTTCCGATCTTGTTGGCCGTGTCGCCATTAGCCGCCACCTACGGAGAGTGGGTAGATACTTAGATGCAAATTTCTATTTTGATCGATGTATGAGATGCACTCACGCGATCTGCCCCCACAACGACGGCAGCCACATTCTTGGCTCGCAGCAGAGCCGCCACCATGCTGTCCAGCACCAGGGTGGCGGGAAATTTCTCATGCACCAACTCATAGGCGGTAAGCCGTGCTCCTTGATTGTACGGCCGTGTCTCTGTGCAGTATACGTGCTCTGAGGATGGATGAACAATTGTGGATGAATAATTGTGGTCAGGAGGAGGCAAGTGATTTTCATTTACTTACCCAACTTTCCAAGCTCACTCAGCTGACGCACAACACCCAGAGCCGTGCCATAGCCCGCTGTGGCCAGTGATCCCGTGTTGCAGTGGGTGAGAACACGCACTGGGCCGGACATTGGGGCTCCGGCCGCCGCAGCCACACGCTGGAGAATGGCCTTGGCCCCGTGGGCACCGATTGCGCGATTATCGGCAATGTCTTTCTTGAGCATCGCCTCGGTGGCATTCAGGAATCTTTAATTACATGGGAATATTTTGCTGCACCTGGCTTTGGGTTGCTTTGCTTAGCGACGTTGTTACCTTTGCTTCATGGCGGCCACGTCGACATCGTCATCCTTGGTCAGGTCATTGGCCAGCACAAGCAGCTCATCGGCGGCAATTTTCATGTTGACTGCCGTCGGCCGTGCCGAAACCAAATAGTTCAGCTTCCCCTCAAGCTCCTGCCGCAGCGATTTCTTGCTCTCGAACTCCTCCGGATGGATCTCGACGGCCAGCGACAGGCATCCCACTATGGCAATCGCGGGTGCGCCTCGCACCTAAAACCAATTAAAGGTACACAGAAGAGACACACACACAAAGAGGATTAGTTATAGCCGTATCTCTGCTTATCTCGTGACGTTGCAAAAAAATTAGGAAAACAGTTTACATTATATTATGTGGATTTTTTCACGTGATAAGTGGCCCACGCGTGCTTTTTGTTAAAGTGATTTCTGTCGGTTATGGGATGAGCAGCACTCTGGGGGCCACTTGGGCCATTAGCACAGCAGTAAGAGCCCCTGCTGCCGGGTAGGGTGCAGGGAGTAGTTGGTTTATTTTTGGCAAGCAAGCGTTTTTACAAATTTTTAATTTCAATTACGTTATTTATAGCCTGGCGCAATAGACAGCCGAGAAGCGACAAGCGACCAACGACGCGATCAGGGCACATATTAAGAAGTGTACCACATTTAATGTCAAAATGTAATGGCATGTGCCACTAATGCCCCTCATTTATAGGACTCATGCTTCTGCTTGGTGCATGCCACTTACCTGCATCTTGTTGATGACCTTCCAGCCGTCCTCCACACCGCGCACCGGCAAATACTTTGACTGCACCGGCAGCAACAGCTGATCCAGTATCTCCAGGCTGCCCCGAGTGTATTTGATCGATTGTAGACTCATCCCGTTTCGTTTTGTACTATAATGTATATCTGGAATGGGAGTGGATAACCGATAATTAGGAGACTGTGGTGACTGGCAGGGGGACTTTGGCTTTGGACAACCCACATTTATCGATGTGTCCGCGCGCGTCACAATATTCTAATGGAGCAGTGGGCCCGAGAACTAATGGGAAATCGAGCAGTTATTAATCGAACGAGACCGCCTACGTCCGCGAATTGCGACGTCTGCCAGGCAAACGGATCAGTGAGAAACTGAACGCGACGCTACATACGTCCACCCATTCAGGGGGCGTCAAAAGATTGAAGCAGGCGCAGAGTAAGAGCGCACATACGGCGGCCGCGACAGCGACTGAGGAAGAGCCAGCAACAGCAACAGCAGCGGCAACGACATCGACGATTAAATCATCTTGACACATTGGCTGTTGCTCTGCTTCCGTCGCTGCTGCCCCGGCGTTGCCAATTGATAAAGGCAAAGGCTCTGCTTGCTTTGCTTTGCTTTGCTTTGGGTCGAATGGGCGCTCCTACAGCTGCCGCTGAATTAGCTTGATGACAATTTGTAATGAATTGTAGGGTAGGCAGCAAATTAATCGCATAGATCAACAGAGCAAATGTTATTAAGCAATGCCAAATGAATCGGGCTGGTAATTAATGCATCTGCGATTTGTTGGGCTGCGGTTGTGACATGACATCGCCTTGCCTCAGTGCCAAGACATTTTACAAAACCTGAACCATATGCTGCCGCTTGGCCCTGCACTTCATCTTCATGGCCCATTGTCGTGCCGCATGCAACAGATGGTTGCCGCAAAACAGTGGTAACCTCACACACACACAAGCACACGAATGGTGCGAAAGAGAAGCAGAAGAGGTGTCCGCTCAGGTAAATTTTGGTTATGAAACAATTCAATTAGAGCAAATGTCTTCACTTGTGGCCATTCGACAGAGCAAAACTCACCTGTTGGCCACCAATTGAGCTCTCAGCACATCGGTGTTTTGGCTTAAAATAATTAATAAATTCTGTTGCTTTGGCTTTGGACACGCTGCGGAGCGGTGCGAAAGTTGGTCGTCTCGTCTCGTCTCGTCTCTCTCTCACTCTCACTCTCTCCCTGCCTCTGACTCTCCTTCTGTCCAGCAAAGTGAAACGCTAGCCGGCGATGGCAATGGCCAAAACAACGTGGCACGTGTTTGTTATCGTCATGAATTATGCGGTATTGGTATTGTTTTTTATTTTATTCGGCAATTTTTTCTCTTTTGCGGTAACTTTTTTTCGCGGCTCAGTGTGACTGAATTCGTTTTGCCGCAAGAAACCATTTTTGGTGTGTCATAGCGCGTCGGTACGAATGTTGTAGCCTGCTCGGAGCGCCGCTAGGTGGCGTGGACTGCGCGCTAAATTTGAAACATGAGGCTTTGAGTAAAATGTTTTTTTTTTGTGAAAACATGATTGAAATTTAAAGAAAATTTAACACAAGTTCAAGCAAACATGCGGAAAGCCATTGGAGCGTCGCTGTACCGCCTCCAGCCAGAGAAAACGCTGTTTATGCAATGCGACATCCAGGAAAAGTTCAAACCGGCCATACCGCTGATGAATGCGCTCATAGAAAACACCAAGAAATTGGTAAGGCCTTGCGCGGGCAAGCGACAGGACAGACAGGACAAACAGGACAGACAGGACAGCAAAAGTGACAAGATAATGGGCGGAATCTAATGAATTTGCATTGCAGTTGGCAGCCGGCAAGATCCTCAACGTGCCCCTGCTGGTCACCGAACAATATCCCGAGAGGCTGGGCAAGACAGTCGCCGAGCTGGACATTCGGCATGCCTGCGCCAACATACCAAAGACCAAGTTCAGCATGATCGTGGGCCCGATCAAGAAGAACATGGCTGAGATGTTCAGCGGCAAGCCACAGACGGTGGTGCTCTTTGGCATGGAGGTGGGTTCCATTTGCTATCTTCCACCTCGGGCACATACTTCTACTGCACCCCTTCTCCCGCGGGATAGACCCACATTTGCGTGGAGCAAACGGCCTTTGACCTGATCAACAATAAGGTGAATGTGTGGCTGGTCGCCGACTGCTGCGCCTCGCGACTCAATCAGGATCGGGACCTGGCGCTGGAGCGTCTGCGGGACATTGGATGCGTGATAGCCAGCTCGGAGAGTGTCATCTTCAATCTGCTCAACAGCAAGGATCACAAAGCGTTCAAGGCGATCACAGCGCTGGTGCGGAAGGTCTCGGCGGATATGCAGATCGCGGCGCCAAAGAAGTGACCCCAGCGGCGCCTTTCATGTTTGCTTTAACCATTAAATGTTGCATACTGCGTGTGCCCGCTGGTTGAGATGGGAGTTGGGGTTGAAATTATGAAAGAAGGACCCACCGGTAGGGCCGATGCTCGATTCTCGATTCCCGATTCCCGATTCCCGGCTCCCTGTCCTCGTCAACTCATAAACATCTCCGCCAAACGGACAGCTGAATGGAGGCGCTGCAGCTGTGGCTTTTCGATGGGTGCCTGCCCCTTTTTGCCTAAGCGGCGCCTTATATGCCCCATCAGCAGGCAGGCAGCAGTGCCACCAGTGCCACCAATGCCACATCGATAGCAACTCCTTGCTGCCAATTTATGCAATGACTTTGACTTGGCTTGGACTGGGATCTGGAAGTGGAATTGGCTGCTGGGGCCGTTCAATTTTATGATGCAATCGCGACAATCGCCAGCGCCCATCTTGCCATCTTGCAATCTCAGCAGCATCCTCCATGCTGTGCTGCAGGCAGCCAAGAGTAGCAGGCAGCAGGAGGAGCAGCAGCACTCTACCAAGTGATGGTGACAATGTAGGCAGGCGTCTGATTGACTCATAACAGGCCGGGCAAACATCGCGATCTTGATCGCCATTTGCATGCCAAAGAGATCTCTGCCTCCGGCTGTTGGCAATTTATTTGCCCAAGAAGAAGCTCCACTCCAGCCACGGCCACAGCCACAGCAACAGTTGGAGTCGCCTCTTGGTCTTAAAGCACTCGCAAGTGAAACTGATGGCGATGGCATCTTGGCACGCGATAAGTCAACAACTTATCCAGGTCTGTGGCATCGCCAGATCTAGCCTCAGCCCCAGCCAATTAGGCATGTCTCTTCGCTTAGTCTAATTCCGCATAAGTCCCACGTTAGCCTTCAAGCAGACAGGTACTGGGGGGCGTGCCACGCATCTGCTTTCAAAAGTGAATTGGGCTAACGGCAACATGCGTAAAATGTTTTCCCAACTGACTCATCCTCCAGTAACTTTACTCTGCTCCACTCTCAACCTCACCAGCTCCTGCTCTGGCTCCTGCTCCGGATGAAACCCATAAATTGCTGGCCTTCGGAACAGGTTTTATTTTATAGCTAACCTCGCACTTGGCATATTAATAAATATAGTTTTTTCTCCTTTCGTTTTATTATTTTTTGCTGTTTTTACCGCACGATAAAAAATGATAAATCTGTGAAATTGCCGCTCGATGTGCAAATGAACACGAGGATCGATGCACTATGGCTCCATTTTGCATCTTCAATCTGCTGTTGCCTACCGTTGGAGTGCCTCAGCTCCTTGCCCCACCCCGGGGACTGCGGCTGTGGTGAATCGATGAACGATTGGCGCTGCCGCCGCAGCTGAGGGAATTTATGTGCTTGCGGCATGGCAAGTGGCAACTGCGGACACGCTCGTAGATCAAACAAGGGAGCAGCCAACACAAATGCAACAAAATCGGAACAAACCAATGTGGTCGTCGAAGTGTTGGCTGCCCTGGTAAATGGTATCCCAAGAACCAGAGGTCTTCGATGCCAAAATTAATCCCCAAACGATTTGGAGCCGCTTAAGCCGCCTTTCCACCATTAGTCTGCCCTCGCGGAATCGACTATTAGAACACGGTTTGTCCAGCATTTCCATGGATGAAAATTCCTGCAACTTCTGTTGACAAATGTGAGAATGTCGGGCGGCGCTTCAAAGAGCTGCCTCGCTCACTCGCTCACTCGCTCTCTGCACTCGACTCACTCAGATTGCATAATTTATGGAGCCGCCTGCCCAAATTAGCCAAAATCTTGCCCGAGGGCCAAGAGCCACCGTCGTCTAATGAGACAACTAATGAAAGATCGCCTGCAGTTCCCACACTCTGCCACACGGCACACGGCACACGGCACACGGAGAAGACTCCGAGTCGCTGTGCCTGCTCCAGCAGCTGCCTTTTCTCATGCAACAATTAGTGCAATCATTTTTTGTTAATTATTCGTTTGTTCTTAAAACGTTAGTTCGGGTGGGCGTGGCAGGCTGCTGCTGCTGCTGCTGCTGCTCTCGTGGCCAGCGGTCATAGGGAAATTCTGTTTTCCGTTTCCAAGTTTGTTGCCTTTGCCTGTGGATCTCCACACTTTACTCTGTGGTCTGGCCAAGTGAGACGTTTCCACGTCACCTGTTAAGCCTGAGATCGCTGGATCTGTAGCTACAAGTACTCGCACATCCAATTAGCATAGGAGATACATTTGTATCTGGGTCTGTTGCCGCCTTTTGGCTTTGGGGTGTGTTCTGGGGTGTGAGATTCTTGGGCCATACGTAACAATTAGACCCCGGACTTATGATTGTGGGCCTCGAGGCTGCCGGCGATAATCGCTCGCTAACAAGAGATTGTGCAGTGAATGGAATGGCCCATGGAATTGGGTATTGGAAGAGCAAGAAGTCAATCTAATGGCCAAACATTGGTCTAAGAATTCGGAGCTTGAACTGCTGCTGCTTTTTCTCCCAGTGTTCCCAGTGTTTCCACCTGCTGCTTCTCGTATTGAATGGTCAGCCAGGGACAATGGGTCAGCTCCGCTTCGCTGTGCTCCATTTCGATTTGGGATTCAAGATTTGGCAGTCTGCCGTCTGCAGTCTGCTCGCCTGTCCCCGATAGTCATCTCTGCTGTTTATTTTCTCAAACTAGATCAAATGGAGATAGACCGACCCGTTCGTACGTATGAATGCTGTTTACACCATGTCTTTGAATGTTTTCTCTCAATCCGCAGTGCTATCTTCGCTTTTATCAAACAATACCGCAGCCACAAACAATACCCCCCCGTGGTTTCCAAAAGAGCAGTGAAAGGTTTTGTCTTGCTCCAGTTGGATCCAAGAACACTCTTCGTAAATGTCCGTAAATGTTGTATGTAACTAATTTGCTTAAATGCGCTCACAATAAAAACAATTTCGCATTGTTGCGCTTTTCGGTTGGTTTTTTTCTTGGCCAAGTTGTTTGTCCAAGATTTGTACAAATTTATGCTGGAAATTCGGCTCGAATGTTGCTGTATTTATATGGGCAATTGGCCAACAAAGACCGGGCCAAGTCCAACACATTTGCCTCCCAGCTCTCCCCCTACTTTCCGCTACTCTTTCCTTGGGGTCTCTCGGTTTGGACACATCAAACTGACGTGACTTGCAGCTTGTGCAGTTGCAGTTGCAGTTGCCGTTGCAGTGCCCATATTTGGCTGCAGATCGGCGGGGTGTCCGGCAATTAGATATGCGAAATGTGTGTGCATTTACTTTCTAATCAAATTAGCATACATTGGGTATGCATTTCATTTGGTAATTCCACAAAACAAACAGAGACAAAGAGAGGGAGAAAATACCATCGAGCGATTGGGAAAGAAAGTGAATTAAATAGTGGGCATGGGGCATGGGGCATGGGGCATGGGGGATGCTGCTCAATCAAGCAATCCTCCTGATCGATTGATTGCCTGGCCTTTTTTCCAGTCAATTGGCTTTCCCTGACCCAACCCAACCCCAGCGCACAGCTCTGCTGCTGCTCCTCCAATAAGTATTCCACTTGCCACAAATGTCAGGGGCACAGTCAAAGCATTGTGTCACGACTACCCATAAACACCTAGTAAAAAGGCTACAAATGATTAAACGCTCAGCTCTCTGCTGCTCTCTGGATTGTGGTTATTAAATCGAAGTAATTTGGCATTTGGGCAACAAAAGAAGCCGCCAGCTAGCCTCCGAGTTGTTCCCTCTGCAGTTCCGAGATTTCTGCATTTCTAGTAGAAAGTGAAGCGTTGTCCACGAGATTCACTTTCTGGGAAGCGGCACAAAGCTGGGGGCTCGACTCTGCCCTCAACAGAAGTGCTAAGCGGCAGAAATGGGCTAATGGCAATGATTAGTGCTTGGATCTACTAATAGACCTTATTTGAGACCCTCTTTTGGTGCTGGTTCAATGGCCCTCTGCGCTGCTGCTCCCACACAATCTCTGTCAAATGCATTCAATTAAGGTTAATTTATAGCCACTTCCCATTGGTAATTACGAGCACCCGAAGGTTCCTCACTCCCCACTGGCCTCGTGGTCGCCTCGAAAATGTGTCAGTGGCGTCGGGGTTTGGGTTGGCAAAACTTTTGCGGTTATGATTTGTGAAAAGCTCTCGGCCCATTGTCCAATTCGGTTTTGGCCGTGATTAATGGAGTGTGGAGTGCCGCTTGAATTTGGCACAGCCCCAGAAACCACTGACCGAGCGATGTGTAGGTGATGTGCCCGAGATCATCATCTTTGAATGCCAGGCACATGCTCGTGGCCAGTGGCTCCACAGTGATGTCCAGTTAGCCGGGTTTTTCCCAGCTTGTAGGCCTGTCAGGCGGCAACACAAAACTGACAGCCAACATTGACAACCAGCGACGACGACGACGACGACATCAGCATGGATAACAAGAGGTTACGATCCAGGTGCAGGTCCATGTCCAGGCACAGCATTCAGCAGTTCCAAGTTGCACGGGGGTTCAGGCAACGGTAGCCCATGTCGGACATTCAAATAATGGAATGATGTTGTACGTACCTGTGCCATGACCCATATCAGTTTTCCTTTGTGCTGCCTGCTGGGATGCTATGTTATTTTGGGCCAGGAAAAAGTTCAGCGGGTCGGGGGACAGACACATTTTTCGGCTGGCATATGAAAAGTGAAACCTCATTTGAATGATGCCCACGCTTAGGGGTTGACTGAATGAACGACTGAACGAATGACTGACTGAATTACTGACCGCATGAAGGAAGAAATGAATGGCCTGCCACCGAGCTGAGCTGAGCTGAGCTGAAATGTGTTGACAGTGAGCGGAGCCGCAAACGGGCAACAGATCAGTGAAGTGAAATGTAGGAGGTTTTATGCTGATTTTCACAAGCTGCAAAACATCCGCGGCAACAGCTGCCCCGCCAATTTGGTGGCAGCTAAAAGAAAAGAAAACAGAAACCAGAAAACAAAAGTGAAGGCGGTTCAGGGTCCAGGAGATCTTCTTCCTCGTCTTGGTGGGGGCCAAAGCCAAAAGCTTTCATTAAATTTCTAAGCGAATTGCCAA